TCCACAAATTTCTGAAACCGTTTTTGGGCTGTGGTTTGTCCATGGCCTTAAAGCTTCAGGTCAAAGGGACATGAAATGAAAAGGGGAAGGCGATCGGTAAACCATCGTTGACCAGCCAGTTTGTTACGATAGTGGCTCGCTCGCCTACAACATGCATGAGACTAACCGCCCAATTTGAGGGTCGGGCCGCAGCGGCTGAGCCCTATGTTCTCCCCTCTTATGCGCCAAGCGAGAGCTTCCTAAAGCGGCAAGAGGGGAATTTGAACTTTACCGAACCAATATCGTGAGAAGTTCTGCCCAAGACTGCTTGAGATGGAGTGGCCACGGATGTGCTTGTCGGGTGCCAGATGCTACCCGTGGCGGAAGCCGGACTTCATAGGATTAACGAACGGAGGCGGCCGAAGATACGCGTTCCGGTAATGCGTTGCATGTTGGCGTCGACCTCGCCAGCTTGGTAGGGTCAACCATTGTTATACGCAGGGGTACTTGCGAATCATCATGCTGACATATCCCTAACACAGGCAAGGCTACCATAGGGGGTGCCCCGTGGCGTTCGCTTGTTTGACTGCGGTTCATGTGACTGATTGTAGGCCCGTTCTGCCGCTTTCTTTGGTGGCTACAAAGGCCGTTTAGGGCGGCGAATTGCTGCTTGTCATATTCACCAAGTGATAAGGTCTTTGACTCATACTAATTCCTGGCCCAAGGCAGAAAGTAGGGGCGATGGTACTTTTCCTGGGTGTACAATAACACATTCAAACTCCTTCGCCGCGGTTCAACTTGATCGCATTGTTGATTGTGGGATAGCAGTCAGAAACCTGTTAAGCTAGCTGAAGCCCACCACCTCGATCGTGTTATTTTCAAGACGACATCATCAGTATGATGTCAAGCATCGCTTAATTACGCCGTCCGAGTCTTATGACCGCATCTCTCGCTCCGGCTTAGTGCTGACTGTAAGAAAGTATAAGTGTCTGTCTATCTCTTGCAGAAGTCCCAACTTTCTCATATATTCTTGTGTTACTATGATGGTCCCGTAGAGACTGATCGAGAGTGTTGATGACACAAGCATCATAGTAAGAGCTTCCCGTTCGCCGCCTTCATCATGATTCCGTAGTCCCATCAACTCATCAATCAAAGAGTTTCTGATGAGGACGATTTTCCCAGTACGTCATTCCCGTCGAATTGAAAAAGCTTCTTCGATAGCCACATGCTAAAGTTGCACAGTCAATGTATTTATCTCGTCGACAAATCTATTGCCTATCGAAAGTCCTTGCTAGAGCCGTGTGAGACTACTGGTTCTGTGCAGTCCCATCATGCCTGCGATTTCTCGACAGTTTGTCTCTCTCTTCCCTCCCAGAGAAACCTGAGGTCTATGGTCCATTTCCTTCCTGTATCATGACCCTGACTTCGTAGGGGTTCGGAGGAGGAGAAGACAGTTTCGTCTGCTGCCATTGCTCCATGCCTGCGAACCAAGGGTGCGTAAGGGCCAGTAGAAGTAGACGCTGAGGCGATAGTACTACTACGATCTTCAAATAACTTCTGACAAGTGTTCTTCAAAGGTTTCCAAATCCAATCCTCAAGAGACTTGGAATTAGTCAAGACTGCCACTGTTAGCAACAGTGCAATGACCCCTGTCCCGATCATACTGCCCAGTGTCACCGAAGCCGGTGCCCCGCTCATACTGAATACGCCGGTCGCAAAGCCGAGGGGAAGAAAAATGGCAGTGACATAAGTGAACCGGCGGATGTCGTCAGCTCCGCGAAGCTCCAACTCGCATCTCATGTCATCTACCTTCTTGTTCAGAGATGAGATATAGGAGGCAATGTTTGTATGGCATTGTTGGAGTTCGAGGACTTTTTGGTCATTTGAGGCTTGCAAGTTGGAAATCGTGCTGCAGTATTTTTGTTCGTCTTGTCGAGTCCATCGTGTAGGCTTCCCCTTGTTTCCTCGATCCGACCAGGCCCGTATCGTGATGAGGTTCTCGTCGAGATCGTCTTGTACGGCCTGAAGCAGATATTGGACCTTGTGGCATAATTTGCTCGCAGACAAAAAGGCATCGTTGCTATCTGCCTCTAGCAGCGTAAGCGCATCCGCCAACGATGATTGCTGGAAGTGTTGGGTTTTGACTGCTCGGTTGGACTTGAGAGATTGCTGCAAAACCCCTCGCGATTCTTTGAAGATGCTTTCCGTGGCCTGAAGCATACGCTCTAGAATTCTGTCGATCAAGACAAGCTCCAGCACACTGTGCTGCTTCCAGTGACCTTTCATTACTTTGGCCTTCACGTCGCGGTCTCTGATGTCTTTGACAGCATCTCCAGCGCTGGTCATCTCAGTAGGGTCATGCTGTAGGAAATGACAAGTCCAGTATCGGTCAATGAAGTCGCCATCAAATCTAAAACTCATCATGGCCCGTCGCAACCACTTGTTTAGGCCGTCTTCAGCTTGACCAAGAAACTCCAACTCGATCTCGTCAGGCGGGGGAAAGCTGTTGCGTCTCTCGAGCACAGATTTCTGATCAAGGACCCAGAACGACAAGTGCAGCTCAGTCACCCATTTGTTGGAGAATGCCACGACGTCTTCAGTGAAATACTTCTGATAGCGACTGAAGCGTTTAAAAAACGCAGCCAGCTCGTCTTCCTCGGCAGATCCACCACAGCAAATTTGTCCAACTGCTTCGTTGACCTCAAAAAATTGCAGCAGCCTCTTTTTGGCACTTTCGCGGTTACGTTGCTCTTCTAGGCAATGTACGAGCTTCTCAGAGCTCTGTATGATAACATTCGCTGGATTTGGAGCACTGAGGGTCATCTGCACTACAGTCTCGGACGTCTCTTGTACGGCTGAGTCTGTAAAATTCGTGTCATTTTGAGCAGATGGCTGGAAACCGGTCCTTGAAACGTTTGTAATAATGCCCTTTAAATCGTGTCCATCTCTGTCGTCGATGGCCCCAGGTGGCTTCCTAGCGTCAAAAGGGACTCCCCGCGCCAGTTGAGAGGAAGCAACATTTGGTTTTATTCTGAAGAATTCTGGTTCTCCATAAAGCCAATTGTCGGGAATCTCCAAGATGTTCTTTTGGTCAATATCGTTGCCGAAGGGAATCGTTTCTTCCATGATGAGGTTCTGCAAACGCGGACGGTGGGGCCTTTTGGATAATATAGTATTGCGAAGCGTTCCGGCCCTCTCGCTATACCCAGGCTGATATTTCCACAGGATGTAAGGTACTTCGAATGTGGTAGACCAATAAGAATGGTGCTTATCTTTCTCGTCGTAAATAACCGGATTCCAGGTCGAATCCAATTGTCCGGCGAGGAGTCCGTCAGGGGATGACGCACTAAGGAGAACTGAGACTGAATCCTTGTACATTCTTTCAGCAGTGTGTTCATTGATTCTCTTCTGCTGAGAACAAAGGATCACAGCCATTGCGAACTGAAGGGGGTGTCTCCAGTCAGTGACTTCATAATTTGGACGGCGTATTTGGCAGTCCACAGTATTCTGCCACGTGATAACCTTGCTTTCAGGAACATGGTCGAAGAATCCACATGCCGCAGCATGGAAGAGAGAAGTATCTTCAACATCCAAAAAGAAGTTTGTCTCCGACAAGCTGCGAACTGTTGCGATCATCTGAGTTTGGGAAGTCGGATTCTCAGTGGCGAATCTTTTGTGGATATTGCGTCTGAATTGATGTGAGACTGGAATTATCGTCTTTGACAGCTTTTCGGTTTTTGATCGTTCTCGATAGTCAAACACGAAGTTGACCTGGACACCGAGCTTCTCTGCAGACTTAAGAGCCCGCCAGATTAGTGCATGATCGACAAGGTGAAATTTCTGGGGCATTTCACTCTTTAAACGAGGAAATATGTGCAGGCCATTCCACTTGTTGTGGGCGAGACCCCCCAACCAAAGCTCAAAAACAGTCTTAAGAGCGTCCACATTATCCAGCTTGTCGTATTGTTCATGCTTTTCTCCGTTCCACTGGACAAATTCTCCAACCTTGATGATTTGGAGAGCAATGTCTGTGTAAAGATCGCAAGAGAGCTCGACCCCTGGAGCCGCAATAGTTTTGCCACTGACCCAGCAACGATTGGCTTGTTGATATCTATCGCCTATAGTCTCGCCGATGTTTTGGACAAGGTTCACTGCCCAATGCTCACAAAGCCACCTGACGTGACCGCGACATACCAGCCAGCTGCGTCTGTAGATTTCGCAGTTAGTGTGGTCGCAAGGTGGTGTTGTTGGCTTGAAATGGGGGCATTCTTTTGCTAGCTTTTCCTCGGCATGTTGCAAAGCCATTAGCAAGGTTTGGAAAGCATGACTAGATTCCATCAGCACGATATTAACCCCTTAGTCGAACAGGCATTTAGACTCACAAGCTTGCTTTGGTAACAACTCTGTGATTAGCAACGTCACCACATGTGAGTGCAATAGGTGGAGTGTGAGAAGAGGGTTGACCGTCCGGGATCTCAGTTTTGTTCGCAGGTTGTTCCTGAATGGTGGTACTATCCTGGCGATGAACTGGAATGCTGCAAACAGACAAAATGTGTTCCACATTTCTCCAGAATGTGAAACCCAGATGCGATTTGGTGTTGAGTTGTAAACGATCATATGGTTTGGATAGGTTCGCTTTGGCGGCGCGAATGTCGTCCCGTCCAGGACGATGATACGCGATGAGCCCAGAACATAAATGAATCTCTTCCAATGCGTAAGCAAAGGTAATGACCAGATATCCAGACTTTTTCGCTTTTTCCCAAGATGGCTTGTCTACAATGAACTGTTCTTTTTGGCCCTCTCCGTGTCACGGGCTAGAGCCCGGCCGGGATCTCCGGCTCTGCCGGAGCAGTTACCGAGATCCGGCTCCGCCGGATCCACTATTCTACCGTGGCACACCGCCTAGCCCGACCACGTATCTCTGTAGCTAGGCGCCCACTCTTGTAAAGTCCTTCTCCTCTTCAGCTTAGAATAGTCAATCGACGGCACCTCTACGTTGAACAAGCCTAGGGGCCAGCCCCTTACACTCCGGTCGAAGATTGATGAGGCACATCGCCTGAGAATGGCGATATAAATAAGCCGACATTATTTTCGAACCCTGCTGGCTTAGATCCGTCATACCTCCAAACCGAGGAGCTGGCGTCTTTGTTCTCGGGGACTTGTGGGTCTTGATGAGAATCCTTTGACAGAGGCTTCTCCTTAAGACCGGCATTCAATCCGTTTCTGTGATCATAGCCATCGTCCAACCCCGAGTCATCTGATTCGGCGTCATCTGAATCAGAGAACTCTGATTCCATCTGGTCCGATGTCTCCATATGTGTTCTATTCTGAATTGTGTTCTCCTGAGCCGATTGTTCCTGAGCCGATTGTTCTTGAGCCGATTGTTCCTGAGCCGACTGTTCCTGAGCTGCCTGGTCCTGGCCTGGTTGCTCCTGGTCTGGCTTTATCTCATGGAACCCATCGCCCTCTTTTGTGAAGTCGAGATCCCGAAGGCGAACGGTAGGATTGTAAGTAATTGTTGGAGGGCTCTCGGAAGACCCCATGTCGATATTGCTGAGATTCAATCTGTATATTTGATATACAGTATTTTGACGCACGAGGTACTCGATACAAGACACCTTTTCTGACTGTGCGAACTTGAAGTGTGGCCAACGATTCGAGACAAACGACATCTGTGGCAAGTTGAGCCCCTTGATGTCTTCACGATCCATCTGAAGATTAAGTCCCCCGTCGAATTTGGAAGACGCGGAATTGAGGTCGTCCAGACGCTCCCATGCATAATAAGGCGAGGAGTAGCCGTTTTCCGACATCTCAGCACAGAGAAACCCCGACGGGTTCCCTGACTTTTCGCCGAAGTATCGTGTAATCTGCATGATTTCACCATAGGCGTTGACTGTCGCCGTTACGCCATCGTCGCCAAAGGAGGCGTAACCCTTCCGCTTGCAAGCCTGTGCGGCCTCGTCCGGGATGCTGGTGTCATTCTACATCAGGATACGCATTAATGTCCGTCCAACGAATGAGTCCACAGAGTTATTACCTTCTTCCCAGTCTCTCCATTAGAAACAGAGCACTCCCAATGGGATTTGTGGTCTGCTTCCATCTTCAATTGGGCCGTAAGATTTCGAGTTCAGGAAGGTATGATCAGATCAGGTCGAGGCTTTCTGGGTGTTATGGAATGACCAGCAAGGCGAATCTTCCATGATCGCTAGCGAATGGTCCACATAATTATACTCATCTTCCCCTTATCAGTTGATATTTGCGGTCAGTAGCTGCAACTTTTGCATTCGAAATGGATTGAGACATATCACAATGGGTTTCGGGTGCCAGGAGTCCTTCCGGGTTCACACATATCGCTGGCTATCGGATGAGCTGGCGGCTGCCAAGGAATGGTGGCAGGGAAATAAGCAATAGTTTCTATCATCCTTGTAATCAAATGCACCTAGGCAAACTAGTAGGTGCAGAGCAAGACAACTATCACCAGGCAATGAGTTGACTGCTCTTCCTGTTGCAGTAAATCCTTGCCTACCCTATCAAAGTTTCACGGTACTTTTACTTAGAATGCATTAAGGTGGCACGGGAGGAGGACCCAAACAACAGCAACTTTGATCAGTAAGATTTGAGAATCTCAGGGCGAGTGGCGATAAACCAAAGATTTGTTTTGAGAAGTATTTGTAGCTCTTGCCCTCTCGGGAAGATCCACCGACAGCGGTGCGGGCCGATCTCATGCATCTTGGGTCAGGTATCTCGGCCTCACGTTCCACCATGCATGCAGTCGCAAGTCTTAGAATTAGGGTCGTAATATTGATTTTGGCTGCATTAGCCTTGCACCCACCTCTACGAGTATATGAGAATTAGTAATCGCAGGGGCTACGCCAGCTAGGCAAAAACAGCCGCAGAAGAGGATGGAGAGGGAAGGCTCGCAGTTCATTATCGATCAGACTGCGAGGGAATTACCTGCCGCGTTGTGGACAGCAGGCTGAATAAGTCAACGTCAACGTCAACGTGCCCTGCCTGCGATCCCTCAGATCCAGGAGCCTTTTTGTGGCTTCTCATTTCACGGGTCTACGATTGAGGCCCGGAGCTAAGCTTCGTGCCCCCTCGGATCAGTTGAGGGAATTGGCAGGCCTGCCGCAGCCAAAAGACATTTACTCAAACTTCATCTTGTTCCCACTGCAAGTTTGATCGAGGTTGTAGATGTGTGAAGCCAACACAGCGCTGTGTGATTCATGATCGTGTGGAGCGCATCGCTGCCTGGAAGATGAGCGGCGGACATAGCTCAGTTGGGAGAGCGTCAGACTGAAGCGGGTCTCCGAACCTGGGAAACTTCATTCAATCAATCTGAAGGTCGTGTGTTCAATCCACACTGGCCGCATCTTCATTTTTTGCTGTTCACGACGATTAGACCAGACTGATATCCACCCAGCTAGCTAGCCAGTGTGTTGTTATGGACTGCAAAGTTGGGGAAAAGCATGCTACCACAAAGTGTAAAAGCCGTGTGAAGAAAGAGTGTTACTACTAGAACAGCAAGAACGACTGGGTGTTTTATTGAATTACAGACAACCCGCTAAACTAAAATGAAACACTGATATCTAGTAATGATTGAAAAAAAAAAAAAAAGGTAATCCGTATGACCAAATCAAACTCCTTCCTCAACTATTGGATGTGAACAGCGAATTGGGGTTCATGGATTGAAAGTTGGCATCAGCAACTCTAGGGCCGGAGCAGCCACCGGGAAGTCAATTGACAGCCCGAGTGCGCCGCAATTCCGCCCCACGCCGCCCGGGCCAGCAAACACGTCAGAGCACATGCCCCAACGCGCCTGCTTTACGATTATCGCCAGCGACTCACCTACCTTCCTGGACACCACTCCCCTCGCCCAGAACTAATACTCACGATGTCGCGAAGACCGGCAAAAGGAGACTATATTGAGACCGTAAGTGTCTAGTTCCTACGTTGACGACCGATCGCCGGAAACTGACCGCCCACCGCAGGACACGGGCAACAAAGTCGCCCGCAAGGCGACGCTCGTCGGCACCCAAAACATCATGCTAGGCGGTAAGACCGTCATCCAGCCCGAAGTCATGATCCGCGGCGACCTTGCACGATCGATACAACCCTCCGGCGGAGCTCCTGCGAACAATACCGCGGTCGCGATCGGTCGATACTGCTTTCTCTCGAGAGGGGCTGTTCTCCGCCCGCCGGGGAGAATGTACAAGGGGTGAGCAGCTTTCCTCCTACTCTGGGCCCCAATTGAGGAATCTTTGACTGATTTTCTGATTTGTACAGTGCCTTCACCTACATGCCCCTCCGGATAGGCGACCACGTCTTCGTCGGCCAACACACAGTCATACAAGCTGCTTCGATCGGAACCCACGTGCACATCGGTCGCGACTGCGTTATCGGCGAGTTCGCCATCGTCAAGGACTACGTTCGAATACTCGAGGGCACCGTCGTGCCGCCTAATATGGTCATACCCAGCTTCAGCGTCGTGGCGGGGCAGCCTGCTCGCGTGGTGGGGGAAGTGCCAGAAGGCGGGCACGAGGAGTTTGAGCTGCGTGAACTCTACAAGACGGTTGGTAATAACCCTCAGCCATTGCCGATGTGATGCTTGCGATTCCATCGACAGAACACTGGCGCTAGATTTACGGCAAAGAGGTGGATGTGGACCGAGCGAGCGCCTCGGGTGGAGGAGTCTTGACATAACGAACGAGCCTCGGCATCGAAGCTTGCGAGGGCATTGCTGTCCGGCATTTCGAAGCGTAGTGGCGGGCGATGGTCGCCAACGAGGCACATGAAACGGCGTTTGGCGAATTTATTGGGCCTAGAGCCCAGAGATACCCAGGTTCGAGCAGTAGCTCAATATTATCACAACTGACTTGTCAATGAGCTGTGGCGGTGGCATCGAGAATATGCAAATTATCAGAGACACCTTTCCGACTTCATAACCGTGTTCCCGTACTGCTCGAATAACAGCAACTATACTTCTTGGGCCGCTTCTTGTACAGAGCTCCTGCCGCATATGTACACACAACAAACACTTAACTAGCTCAACACGCCACTCCTCTACGCCGCCTAATGCTCAGAACACTCATATCCTTCAGGGCTCGCCAGGCCAAATCGAGTCAGCAAGCTTCCTCACCAAGTCCAGCTTCTTCACCATATCCTGGTGGGTGATCGAGTTGCCAAGGTGGTGGCTAGCAAACCCACACTGCGGGCTCACGCCGATCCTCTTCAACGCCTGCTCGCGGGTCTGCCCAGCCCCCTGCGCCACAAAGTCGGCCGCCTGGAACACCCGCTCCCGCATCTTGTTGAGGTCCTCGAGCTCGGGGAACTTGGACGTAATGACGCCCAGGATGACGTTCTTGTGGGCGGGTAGCTCCTTCAAGGGCTCGAAACCACCGGCGCGGTCGGTGTCGTACTCGAGGAAGTACGTGTCGGCGTTGATCTCCTTGAACAGGCGGGAGGCGATGCGGTCGTAGCCGCCCTCGGAGAAGTGGCGGGAGTATGCAAAGTTGCCGCGGCAGAGGTGGATGCCGAGGTGCATGTCGGCCGGGCGGGAGCTGATGCTGTCGTTGTAGAGCTTGATGTAGGATTGCAGCAGGGCGTCGGAGTCTTCGCCTGCTTCTTTGAATCCTTGGAGCATCTTCTCTGAACAGAAGTCTGGGTGGTTATTAGCTTGTCGACTTTCTGAAACCGACGGAAAGGTAGAAACTTACACGCCAGGTTGGGGTCGTCAATGGTGACATTACGGACGCCGTGGTCGTATAAAAACTCCAGCTCCGTACGGTACGCCTTGGCAATATCGGCAAAGTACTCTTCGTCGTTGGCATAGACATCCTTGGGATATGCATGGCCCTTCTTGTATCTCAGGTGGTACCACTCAGGTGCGGGCAGGGTGAGCTTCGCGTCCTTAACCTTCTCAGGAGGAATGAGAGTCTTGAGGTACTCCCATTCTCTCAGATAGGTGCTGCCCTTGTGCTTGATCTTGCCAGTGCACAGGATGGACTCTCCTGGCTTGTGGTCGCTCTCAACTGGGAGAATGGTTAATCACGGAGTCCTTGCTCAAATAAGAACCTGATGACTTACTGAAAGCCGCAATATCTGGCACATACATGCGGAAGATATCCCAGCTGGGCGCAGGAACTTCCTCGAAACCCTCAAGACCAGGGAAGAAGTTGCCCCAGAACTGGTGACGTCGATACTCTCCGTCATTGATGGCGTGAAAGCCAAGATCAAGCTGCGTTTTGACAATCTCACGAACACCCTCCTCCTCCAGACGGTTCAGCTCCTCATCCGCAGCAATCTCAACAGCCTTCTTCTCATCCAAAGCAATGCGCTTGTCCGTGAGAGCTTTGGGTCGCAACAGCGAGCCCATGTGCTCCGCGCGGAAGGGTGGTCTCTGGTGGTTCTTGGCAGCCATGATGGACTTTTCAACAGCTGAACTGAGGAATTGCATCCTCCAAAAGGTATATCCGAGCGGTTCGGGAGCTTGAGACTTGATTTAAATAGAATCAGACTTGGGGCTACCTTGTTTCCGAGCGGAATGGCACCCTTCGGCAATACGAAATCTTAACAAGCCAGAAAGCTACCTGATATGAATGGGACCATTTGACCGGGGATTTTAGAAGCATGCGGGCAAAACCCGCCATACTTCCCGCCCTTCAGCCGCCACCCCTCGTCTCAACGATGTCATGCCGTTCCATCTTCACCACACATTCCCAAGCTTCGCGCCCACCTGGACCCCCGCTTTCCCCGCCCTTTGTCATAGCTGACGAGGGGGCCAGTGCTCTTGGAGACGGCAAATGGCAAAGTCCGGTAGCGGCCGCTTAATCACGATCCTGTGTTCTTCAATATGGGCAATTCTTACCTAGCGGTCTGTTGGTGTTTCTTGATGGCAAGGGTGGATGTTCCAAGATGTTTCTTTTCGGAAGGGAGCACTGCATGCGCCGCAGCGGCACCGCGGTGGAGAACGATGCGGTTACTGATTGTGGAATAAGCAAGTACTTGCACGAGGGTTGCGTCGGCTGAGGGAAGCCAAGGTTGTGTAATTGCTGACTGGATTTCACCGTTCGACTAATTTTGGGACTTTGGTTTTATTGCAGTGAAGAGGTGGTTGTCTACGGCCACTTAGAAGTTGAAGCTTCATGAGCTACGAGACGAAGACCGGAAGGGAGCTCCGGAGCTCTTATCGTTATCGCCCTTATCGGGAAGCTACAGTGGGGGTCTGTGGCGATTTAGGGGCTCCTGTGGTTGGACCGAAACCCCGCGATGACATGCCGCATTTCCATTCCCAGTCTGCTCAATTTCGCCGACTCAAAGTCCCGAAAGACGCGCTTCAGCTTTCAGAGAGCTTCAATTATCTCGAGAACATTTGAGTCATCTCGACTGATCCTCTCAGTCTAATCCGAACCGTTGTTTGAATCGCCTCAATCGCTCCGTCTGATCTTGAAACCGAAACCTTCCCGTGAAACAGAGTTCCGCGATCTGCATTGCAGAACCTCAACCACGCAACTTCAACAACTTGTGCTCAGCTTGCATCTAATCAAATCTCGGCAGAAATCACCAGTGAAACAGTAGCCGACCATGGCCGTCACTATCGACGATCTCCCGAATGAGATCTTGGCCCAAATCTTTACCTATCTCGATCGCCCTGCGCCCTCCGATTCGAAGCTTCACGACCAGCCAAGCTCGTTGATGCTACAAAACCCCTTCTTCGATAGGGATCTAAAGAACGTGTCCGTCGTTACCAAGCTGTGGAGGGCCGCTGTTCTGCCTCTACTCTTCCGCCATGTCGTCTGTACAATCGACCGCTTCGAACTGCCGCTCATAGAAGAGACGCGCGACCCGGCCGCAACCATCGATTTCCTCCGCTTCCTTCGAGACAACAACCTGACGAACTATGTCACCACCGTGACCATGTTCGTCGAGGATGCGTTGGGTGGTGTCGCGACATCGCATCTCGCCAGCAGCGTCGAGCTCATGGAGTCTGGCCACGCGAATAAGGCGTCGTATAGCGAGGATTACAACTGGTTGTGGAGGACGCTGTTCGAGCACGTAGACCCGGTACGGCTGAGCATAATCGCCTCACCACGGGTTCTGGCGCAGTTGCTCTCGCGAATGCTCTTCTTGGGGGATGCGTGGAACTTCGACATGCCGCAGCATATCCTGTCTCTCTCGCGGAAGAGCAAGAAGGTGGTCACGTCCAAGTACAAGTCAAAAGCGAAAGCGTCCTCATCCAGTGACGCACCGTCCCCCGAGAACCCGCACCAAAAACGAGTCCCATGCGACCTCTTCACCATCCGTCCTTGGCAAAGTCTGCTTCTCAACGAAGGCTCGTCAACTCGCGTCTACAAGACATACGAATACTATCTCAAGCGCCCACCTTCGATGCTCGGCGCCCTTCTAGGGGCGGAAGAATTTCCGAACGATGAGCCCTTGATCGCACCTTCCATCCGTGACTTCTCCTACGTCGGCATCTTTCCACTATCCAGCCACTTCAACACTCTTGTCCAACACGTCCCCCGCCTCGACCGACTCTTCGTGCAGCTCGTACCTCGAAACGACATCCTCCAGGACGCCGACGAGATGCGCAACATCGACATCGCCGATCTTTGGATGGAGCGGAACACATCATACTCCATGCTCTTCCGCGAGCTCTTCGACCCCGACCCAGACAGTCCCTGGCTCGAGCTGAAGACGTTCGAGAGCGGCGATGCGGCGGACCGGGAAGCGTGGGAGATGGCTGTGCAGTTCGTCCAGTTCAGCGGCGTGCAGGGATGGAAGGTCGAAAGCGAGGGCGTCTTCGTTCGGGAGAGGAACGAGAGTGGGCCGATCCTCGGGATGTCTCAGTCAGTGGCGCCGGAATCATAATGATTTTGATCTTTCAGGTGCTAATTTATGTTCAAAAAGACTGCCGGGTCAGCTTAGACGGTGGGCTTTCAATGGAGTTGCTACACTGCCGGTATCCAGCGCGATGCTTTACATGGGAAACGGCGGGCCGTAGGTATTATGTTTAATGTAGCACGTCGCAGGTTCCTATTCGCAGTCGTGAACACGCTTTTTACTGCGAGGGTAGTGTGCCCGACCATGTAAGTCCTACTATCACACGACAGCGAATGTGATTCTTTCAACGATGACTAGTAGCTCATGGAAGCATTATGGAAATTTGTGGGCTGTATAACAGGCTGTCCGCAGCCCAACTTGGCGCTGAGGCTGACTGCGCCAAGGCTTATTTGCGGACGTTCTATCCAGACAAGCCAATGATGATCGTGAACAACACATCTCAGCCCGCGCGACGGAGTGAGACCCTGAGCGACGCTAAATTGAGACGGTTGAAATCCGTCTGCCTGATGTGCAGACCCTTCCCAACTATTGACCGGGGCGAAATCCTCAGTTGCACGAAAGTACCGACGTTCTCTTCACAGCCGCACCCTGCGGTTCAGCTGGGAGCCGCCACGGCGTCTAACGGTGTAACTCTTGTGTCTCACGCAGAACTTCTACCGCAGCCTGACTTTTCCATGAATCTTCCCCGTTTCTCACCCATTACTCTACGGAGCCGACTTCTGAGGCCGAGAAGCGACGATGCGTCACGCTCCGTTCATCTTTCTCACTGCCGTGGCAGGCATCACCGTGGTCCAGGGGACGTGTTTCGTCCCCAACGGCACAGACAGACACGCCCTGACCAACATTGAAAATAACCGGTACGAGCCCTGCGAGGGCAACGGGCACAGCATGTGCTGCAACGTCGTCAGCGGGGACAAGTGCCAGGCGGACGGGCTGTGTTGGAACGAGGGCGGGCGGTTGACGTGGCGGGAGAGCTGTACGGATCCGACGTGGCAGTCGCCCAAGTGTGTGAAGCTTTGTATATCGGATGATTATCGTGAGTTTCTGCTACTTTGAGCTGGCGTGGATGTGTTGCTGGGCTGCTTGGTTTTGGCGTGCTAACGATGGGGATGGTAGAAACCGAAGGCGTGGGCGCGACGGGGACGGATATTGTGGTTACGAAGTGCGCTGATGGGAGTTACTGCTGCGGGAACAATAATAATGCTACGGACTGCTGTACTGCGGGTAAGGGTGTGAAGATTGTAGATGGGGAGGTTGTCACGACGTCTTCGGCTACAGTATCCGGTTCGACGATTATCTCGACGTCTTCCTCCATACCTACGACCTCCTCAGCCGCCAGCAGCAGCTCGGAGCCTTCTAACAATCAAGCCGGTGTCATTGGCGGTGCGGTCGGTGGAGGAGTCGGGGCAGTGGTCCTTGCCCTTGCGGCTTGGTTCTTTTGGTACAAGAGGAGGGAGAGGAACACGGGAGCACGCGGAGATGTGGCGGACATGACGCAGAGTTATGTCGCTGTGAGCCAGGAAGCGAAGTATCCGACTGTGGTGGAGGCTCCGAGTTATTATCCTCCTGTCGAGATGCCGGGAGAGGCGCATCCTGTTGAGCTGGGGTCGGAGTCTATGAGGCCGCCGAGTCGACGATGATTTGGTCGGCCATGTCTTTGAGATACGTACGTTGGTCAGAGAGCGGGATTGAAACAGCTTTTCCCAATGTTCAGAAGTGGTGCAAAATTGTTTTCGGTAAAGCCAGAGGCGTCAAGTGACCACATCTTTATTGTTAGCATCTCCGTTGTATTGGAGGGGTGACTTCGTGGGTCAGAATTCGCAAAAGTAATCAGTGAAGCTCCCTTCCCGCCGAGTAGTTGGTCACTCTCAATTCATCTTTGAAATTTATACTGGAAGAGATGTTTTGAAAGGTGCGTTGAGAGCGCCCAGCGGCGGGTTACTCGTTAATACGTGACAGAAGAATATTTCGCTGGATGTTACAATTTTCGGGCCAGGACAAATTTGCATCAAGCATTTCCAATTTTACATCGCCTTCGCTCGTGAAAATACACAGAGATTTCCAATCTTCTGAAGGCGGCAACTGAAAGCCGGTGCAATTATGTGAAGACCGACAGGGGAAGCGGACGCGGTGGGATTGCATCATATTCCATCATATGGCCAAGTGCCCACTTGGGCGCGCTTTCCACCAGCAAAAGCCTTGGTGGTGGACAATACTCTCTCTGCCATGGTGAGCCTGCTTCGCTCAATATCGCACTCTCCCCGATTCACACCGGCGGGGAGAACATCTTCACCTTCCTTGTCTGGTAAACAGCTGTCTGCCAAGAGGTTACAATGCCATGCGTGCCACGGCGCGATGATTGACGCTATGGCGGGGAAGCCTTGCACCATCATCATTCTCGACAATAGAATGCTCATTTTCTGTCTGGTGAGTTTGGAAGACCCCATACTTTTCGAATACCGAGTTGAGAAAACCGTAACTCCCCGATTTCGGGCCCCGCGAGGATTCAGCGTATATGAAGGGGCTCAGCCCAGGGTAGATGATGGTTGAGTGAGATTGCGCCTGTGACCACGACGAGACGAATCCAAGCCATCATCGGTCTTCGTCCTCTATCCACAAGATGCACTTCCTTAGAAGCGTGGCCGTTGGATTGCTCCAAGCAGGCCTGATATCGGCGCAGACGAAGTACGCGGACAACCAAATTCCGGTTTCCAAAGACAGCGAACTCGTCTCCAAGCTCTTCCCCGATGTAGAAGGCGTCGAGCTGCTCTCGCCTGCGTTCGCGAATGATGAGACTGTACCGGACGGATGGGCCAACGGAACGTCTGGTCCTACATCGCAAGACACGCTGGGTTGGTAATGCTGAAACTCAAGAACAAGGCGTGTGCTAACACATCGTTCAGAATCTTTCCTGAAAGGTATCGCAGACCAACACCCATGGGCAACCTACCACACGCCCTTCACCTCTGAAGATGACCGCTCAATTCCTTACCTAAACCTCTCGTCTGGCTCCTCGACACCCAAGCTCCGGATCTGGCTTCAGGGGGGCGTCCACGGCAACGAACCGGCTGGCGACCAAGCCATTCTCGCCCTCCTAGCCAAACTCGCCTCCAACGAGACATGGACAGCCTCCGTCCTCGAAAAGGCTAACATTCTCATTCTGCCGCGGTACAACCCCGACGGCGTGGCCTACTTCCAACGCGAGCTCGCCTCAAACCACGACCCGAACCGCGACCACGCCCTCCTCCAGCGCCAGCAGACCCGCGACGTCAAGACTCTTTTGTCGGCGTTCGACCCGCACATCTTCCTCGACGCGCACGAGTACACCGCAAGTCAGCGGCTCGGCGCGCAGGGCCAGTGGCTCAAGGCGCAGGACGTCCAGGTGTCGCACGTCAAGAACCCCAACATCCACCCGGCCATCCGCGCCCTCGGGGAAGGCCTCTTTCTGCGTGCGATCCAGGGCAGGGTGCGGAGCCATGGCCTGCGGACGAGCGCGTACTTCACAGCCGGCGGCGGCACTGACCTTCCCGTCCTCACGGAGCCGAGCTCCGTCTCCCGCGCGGGGCATAACTCCGCTGGTCTCCTGCAGGCGGTGTCCTTCCTCACGGAGACACGGGGCATCAGGCTTGCGGACCAGCACTTCCAGCGCCGCGTCGCCGCAGGGTTACTTGCGGTTGAGACCCTTCTCCAGACCGCCGTCGACAACGCCGAAGAAGTCTACGTCACCATCGAAACCGCACGGCAAGAGTTCACCACCAGTACCGAGGCCATCATCGTCACCGACCACGCGCGCACCACAAACACAACATGGCCCTTCATCGACGTCCGCAACGGCACCCTCGTCCACGTCCCCGTGCAATTCCGCAACAGCACGCCCACCGCGCCAGACCTCGTCCGCGCCCGCCCCGAAGCGTACGTCTTCCCCCGCGCGTGGGCTGCCGTCGCCGACAAGCTGCGCACCCTGGGCGTCGAGGTGGCGGTGCTGGAGGAGGACTTTGTCGGGGTAGCGGAGGTCCTCACCGCGGAGAGCGTCACCCTCGCGAGTTCCAAAAACGAAGGCGTCGTCGAGAGCACCATCACCACAACGACGAGCCGCAGGACAGTGAGGGTGCCGAAGGGCGGGTTCCGCGTGAGCACGCGGCAGAAGAACGCGGCGTTTGCGTTTGTGCTGCTCGAGCCGGAGAACAACGCGAGCTTGGCGCGGTATAATGTGATTAACTTGGAGGAGGGCGATGAGTACCCCGTGTTTCGGGTGCTCACGGGGCAATAGGATCAGGCGGCCGGGGTGTCTCCGCAGTCAAGCACGGATCGGAGGCTACCGGTCTTTCGGTGGTGGGGCCGGATCGGCGGCGGTAGGTTGGTGGCACAGTCCGGGTATTAGCAAACTCGCGGCACTCCGGATAATAATTAGGTGCCATCTTAATCTCACTGCATTAGCTCCCCCGTGCTCGTCTCCAAACCCGAAGTCTTCTCCAAAATTCTGAAAATCCCGTGGGTTTTTTCACAGAGTAGCAGCACTAACAGAATCCGCCCCTCCACCATGAACGCCCACCGCAAGCTGACACCCAATCATCCCGGCCCCCTCACAACGTCTCCAAACGTCCACCTCTCCAAATAACACCAATCACCCAGAAAGGGTCTGCCAGAACCTCAGACATTTGCCCACGTTGGATGCTGCAACAGAAATGCCACCCATGCAGTCACCAAACAATTGAAAGGAGACCAAGTAGGAGAAAATCTGGAAACAGAAACATTTGGACAAACATTGTGTATGTCACGCCCGCGTCCTGGAACGCGACGATGATGGGGGAGGATGTGACTGACTCCTGCATGCTTACACGGCGGTTGATCGGTTTGCACGTCACGCTTTCTCTGAACCCCCTATTTGTGCTGTTCTCATTGATCGGTGACAATGTGAGTTGAAGACGATAAAGGGACGCAATGCTCCCCTTGTCCTTTCCCATTCTTCTTCTTCCTTGTCGCCGTGCCTCAATGGTTCGCGAACTTCAATTCTCTTCCACATCTTCCTCTTTTGTCTCTGCGAGATATCTTCACTTCTTATAAGCCGAGCCGGACTCACATTCATCACCCACTTAAACTTCAACTCCCCAACCACACAAATCAAACCCACTAGAACAAGAATCCCGCCCAAGATGCATCCCCTCTCTTTCCTCCTAATCCTCTTCGCAACCTCTGCCACCGCCCTCCCCGCGACGCCCGCATCGCCAACGCCCTGCACAATGTCCCTCCCCACAGACGCCTCCCTCACCCGCCCCCCGCCGCGTCCCTTCCGTCCCACCGACGCTCCCTCGGCCCCCTCAGACGAGGCCACAGACCCGACCCCATCCCCAATCTACACCCTCCTCCCCGTTCCCTCCAACTCCTCCTCCTCGGCCTCAAACACATCCGCCCCCTGCTCCCGCCGCCCGCTCCGCCTCGGCCCCGCGCGCCTGCACAAGAAACCCTCCCCATCATCTGCCTCCGAGGCCCCAGCCGTCGCGGCCGTCGCAATCGCCGCCGCCGCCGCAGGGACGCCCACCTCCGACGGCCCCCGCGACTACGCCTCCCTCATCCCCCCAGCCCCCGGCGTCACCCCGCGCCCGGAGCCGAACCTCGCCGAGATGGGCTACTACCAGACCACCTACTGGTCCTGCGCGACACGCGGCACGTCGAGCCACTGCGGCTGGCACCGACCCATCATGGTCGCGCCCGCCAACGCCGCCGTCAACGCCGCCGCTGCCGCTGCGCCGACGAACTTCGGGCTCGGTGCCGCGGCGGTCGCTGGTCTGGTCGGAATCCTCATCGCCGGATGAACGCAACACAACCAAACCGTCACCTACCCCCTTAACCAGCAAAACAAAAAACGTCTGAGCGACTAGCCCCGTCACCGTCAGCCACGTCGTCCGCGCGCCCCGAGCGATAGAAACGAAAAGCCTCGGCAGGACCCGTGATGGAGCCAGTTCACCGTTGGCAGCAAACGACCCTTTTACCACGAGGGAATCCGCCGCGGCGCGACCGATGGCGGCGTCCTGTATCGTCAAAGCGTCGACGCCACCGTTCGTTCGGCCCTTCTCCTATTTCTGTTCTTTGTAAGATTCGTGAATCGGCCCTCCCTCGTAAAAGAGTCGGCCCTCCTCCCTGATGAAAGGGGGAAACACAGATTCGCGCCTGCACAGCCCAGCCGGCTGGGCTACGATGTTATGACCATAGACCGAGAGCACACACGTTGCATGCATGTCGCGACCGGACCCTTCCCCATCCTCTCACAACAACACATGGACGAGGAAGAGGAAGAGCGGTTGTTTCCAGACAATCTTGTACATCATTTCAATACAACTATAGAAAGGGGGAAGAATGAATACTACCCGTTTGGCCCTCGTCTCCCCTGAAAACAAATAAAAAAGTGACAGTTAATAAAAAAGGTAAAAAGAGGACCACGTTCTTTTCTCGCCTTCTAAAAAGCTCGGGTATTTCAGAACACACAACATGGAATAGAAAGAAGTTTGTTAAAGAAGAACACAAGAGCAACCCCCAAGAACAAGCGCATGATGGTGAATGTCCGCCCCTTTTTCCCGTGCTTTCTTCCCTCTCCGGTCTCCCTTGGATAGTTAAAAGCGTTACATGAAGAGTGTTTTCGTTTTAAAAAGGTCCATTGCGGGACTGGTGTTGGTTGGCGGTGGTGATGGGATGATCCGCCGCTGCCGAGCATAGGATGCGTAAGCCCCCGAGCCCGCCTGTGCCTCCCAGCGTGGACTCAGTCAGCTGCGCGCTACTCGCTGAGGGCATCTTTTCCTGCGTCCGTCGCCCGAGCCGCGAAGGAAGGGGGCGAATGAGGATATATGGCACGGTTTTCACCCTCGGCGGGGCTTGGGCCAGGGACGATCGATGCCCCGACATGCATTCTGAAGTGGCGTGCGGAGTCGGAAATGGCGAGGAGATGGGGAACAGGTTTTGTTTGGTCGGGACTGGTGGCGGAGTAGTAGGCGATGGCAAGTTTCGTTCGTCAAAAAGGAGGAATCGGATGGCGGATTGGATGAGGTGGTTCGGGTCGTGACTCGTCGTTTACTTCTTGGCCGGAGCGGGGGGCGCCTTGACGTTGTTAGACAGCCAGGCGAGACCCTCGAGGAGGCCCTCTCCGGTCGTCGCGCAACTGGGCACGACGTACCAGATCTTGTCTTTTAACTTGGACAGCTGGAGGGCCTCGGTGACTTCTTGCGGCTTCATGGCTGTGTGGTGATGTGGTCAGTATGCGCGTTCTCGATGCCTTGTGGAGACGTGCGTTTCTGGACTCACCTCCGTTGATATCCTGCTTGTTCGCGAACACCAGCAGCAAGCTGTCCTTCATTTCGCGGTCGTTGATGATTCTGTGCAGCTCGGACTTGGCCTCCTCGATTCTCGCGCGGTCGGAGGAGTCGATGACGAAGATGAGACCCTGGGTTCCTGTAGGATAGGGGTCGTTAGCGCAGTTCGCGAGAGACAGTTGGGTAAAGCAGGCAGGCAGGAGGGGTGCTCACCGCTAAAATAATGTCTCCAGAGGGGACGGATCTTGTCCTGACCACCGACGTCCCAGACGTTGAACTTGACGTTCTTGTAGGTGACGGTCTCGACGTTGAAGCCAACGGTGGGGATGGTGGTGACGTCCTGGCCGAGCTTGAGCTTGTAGAGAATGGTGGTCTTTCCAGCGGCATCGAGACCCAGCATGAGCAGGCGCATCTCCTTGGATCCGAAGATCTTGCCCATCATCTTTGAGAGTTGGCCACCCATTGTGACGGTCGGTTGTGCGTGTGTCGTGGATTCGGAGTTCGTCAGACGGTCGGACGGTTGGAGATAGTCGGCGGTTGTCGAACTGGCGTGATGTGGGTTGGTTGAGGCTCGAGTGGTTTTGGGAAAGGGGACGGACGTCGCAACGTATGACGGATGGCTCCTGCTGTGTTTTTCTGGCAAGGTCGGGACGGGCAATTGATCGCCTGGGATTCGTGGTCGCGCGCGCACTCGGATTGTGCGGTCGTCGGTGTTTGAGGGGGATAAAGAAGGAGTGGAAGGGTTGAGGCGGTATGTGTAACGGAGAGAAGCTATCGCGGCTGCAAAGAAGAAAAAAAAGCAACCTTCGTTTGCGATGTGTTGCTAGGTGTTTGCCGAGTCGGGGACGGGGATCGGAGGTTGGGGTCGAAATGGAGCAGCAGGACCGCCCGTCGTCGCCGCACTTTCCCAGTGTCACACTCACTTCACACTCGCACCCACGCGTCCACACTTTCACACACGTCAGGTCTCCAGTCCAATCCCATTCACTGTACCGTAGCCGGCTCTGGCTCTGTTGGGCTGTCGCTCGGGCGTCTTGGTAGCAGTGCAGTCCCTACCTAACCCAACATGTGTGCATCCGTAAAGGCTTGTGACCTCTGCCAGGGGGTGCGGTGCAGGTGCAGGTGCAAAGCCAAGGCGCACGTATCATAAACGGGCCAATTGGCAGCTATATTTGGGCCCAAATTAATGCTCCCGTCTTCCGAAACGAAGGTGAGCAGAGAAAGAGGTGTGCAGCCGAGCGTTGTTTGCCTGCGGCCCGTCTAGAGATGCCTTTGGTTGGATTGATCGACTTTGGGGGTCATCCATGCGTTTCATTCATTCAACCACTGTGACACTGTCTGTCTCTTGCGAAGACACTGCAGTCTCTTGCGAAGACAGCACACAGCTCGACCGTTGAACTTTGAGGCTGACTGTCCTTTTTTTTTTCCTTTCTTCCCACGCAGGTTGAGATGGTTCAGGGGCATTTCCAGTTCCAGTAAGGGTCGCAGAGCTGGATCCTCTTCTTCAGGGCGCAACACGACCTCGCTCATTACGACTGATCACCAGGCGAGGGAGGGCACTGGGCAACGGACATCACCATCTGGCCGTCCCGTCCATCAACCAACCTCTCCAAACCCTCTCTCCCCTCATCTCGTTCATCGGCAGCCTCGCCATTATCGCATCTGCGCCTGTGGGGGCCCCTCTTCCCATCTCCTCAGGAACTGCCCAACAGTCCACCACTGTCCGCGGACAATCCACCTCTTCCCGGGGGGAAGAATCGATATTGATCTCGTCTAGGCCTCTTTTGGAACAACATCTCTAGCCACCGCCACACCCCCCAACACATGCATGACATGACAGGTATCAACTCAAAAGAAGCTCTACGCGAAAGAGAACAAGTCGTGTGGCGCGTGACGGCCCACGGTGGGATGAGCACTAGATCGGGTCTAGCCGGAATGAATATCGACTGGAATATTGCTCCTCTGGCCGGAGATTTCACTCAGGTACGAAATACGCGGTGCCCGCTGCACAGGCACCGCTGCCGCTCCAGCCCAAACGGAGAAGTTGCAAATTACAACGTACCAATGAACGCCCTCAGGTACCTGATCTCTCTCCCACGGTGGAACCCAAACAAACAGGGTGCCCCTGACCTTGTTCTATGTTAGGCCTAGCGCCATCTGCACGTCCCCGACGCTCGCTCCGGGCTCCCTCCTCCCTCCGAGTCGTTGTGAACCGTCTCCGAACCGTCCTTCACGGCTGATATCTTGGCGTGACATATGCGCGTGATTGATGACAATGAATCGTGTGGCGTCGTAGTCTGATGGGAGACCCTCTAACGGTCGAGCAAGGCTTTGTTTCTTGTTTCATGTTTTTCTTACTACTTCTCTTAAAATGGTCTGCTGAAAGCCCGTTTCATCGTCATCCAGTTTCAATTTGTGGCCATGTCGGACGAACATGCGTGTGATGCAGAGCCGCAAACACAGCGAGGCAACCCTCCAGGTCAATTTAGCAACGAACAGTCATGGTTCTAGAACATGGCATCGAATTCTTCAGCCCAAGAATTCTCCGTCTGCCTCTTAGGGAGGACCTTGCAAGTTGCACCGGAGGCCGCAAGGGGGCAGACAATGTACCAATGACGTACTTCGTGGCCCACGGCAGAGGTGTCGTCACTAACACACGTGTGGAATGCGATTTTTCAACTTTCACCGTCATGAATTCCAATGGTACTGGTTTCCAGCGGTTCAATTTACCGCAATCGTCGATAGGGCTTCTCGAAATGACGTCTAGTAAGCACATTGGCACATCTCGTCTGGGTCGCGTGTGATAAATACTTGTATTTGGGCTATGCTCGAGAGTGTGATAAGGGAGTCTACATTTGAACAGACATTACAAGTCCGTGGCTTGGATATGTTGCAGCAAAATGCTGGATATGTGATGATATTGCCTCTTGCCTATAGCCAGAGACTATCACAATGAAGACGCATTGACATGTTTACAAATTAGCCTATGGTGCTCAGTAGAACATGACGCTTGAGGTCGTAATAGGAGCAAATTGACTACCTACCAGGAACACCGCACATTCAGATGTCTTCCTGTTCTGTACTACTCAGCATGCAAGCCTGATGTTCCAGAGCTGCATTTATCACGAATGCGGTGTTGGCGGACTCTGTAATCGTGTTACGTTGACACTGGCAACAGCTTTTGCATAGAACCTTTCGTCTTACTATAAGTCGCTCTTCGAAATGTCATAGCCTCTCACTGTGCCGTCCGGGCCCGTTGACTCCCAGGCCATATCTCCAACTACTCCATGGCAGCAATAAGTACGTAGTAAGTCATCAAACATCTAAACTCCTCTCGAATCGAAGGATAATTGCTTCCATTCAAGTTCGAGAAGCACGTCGGGCACTTACACAGACGATTGATTAATCTTGCTTCTGAGAGAAGCAGTGGAAGCCGATTGTTCGATAGGACGATAGTGAGCAGGCTTCACCCAGGTCTGCTGTCAACTGCCCTCGCCATTCTCTGCATGGAGCCTACACAATACGTGTATAGTCGAGCTCGCCTTGAATCGTACAGAAGCGCTGTCTCCAATTCAAGTAACATCAACGGCACGGCGTACCGAAGCTTTCAACTGGCCGGGAGGCAAGGAGGTTGGTTTCTGCTTACTTGTTTGTTGGGGAGGCTCTTTCCGGCCGTGAGACAGCCGCGTTCGGCCGAAGTCCGCTGCACTTCTGTGCAACGCTCCGGTCTTGAACCTCGAGCAGTGTCGTGGCTTTTGTGACGGAGCGCCTGCAGAAGAAACTCTGCTCCTATGTGATGGTGTCGCAACAGATCCGCATTAGTCGTCTAATCATCTAATTGAAGTTCTCAAGGGACTTGAAGTTGAGCCGATCCATGAGACGGTTCACCCCATTATGTAAGGTATGTTAATAAAACTGGTCAAGTGTTGTAGTAGCGAATGAAAATTAGAAGTAGAACGTAGACCAGCGGAAACTCAAAAGCAAGAGAAGTGAAGTGGGGAGTCGCTTCCTTTTCGTTCAAGCAGTTCCTCGAGCTCGTGCTCGCGAGCCAACACGGAGACCGAGCTCTCCGTCTGTCGCGAGCATCGTGCCCCACTGACGGGAACCGGAACACATATCGACTGCCTAGACGGGGCGGCAAGACCCGGTTGCTGTACCCATCGCCCCCGGCTTTCCCCGCTCGTACACCTTCGAAGAGCGTGTTTGGAATCATTCTTCTCGATCTGGGTTCTCGGTAGGGTGTTCCCGGACTGCGCTCCCACGTACTTGGTTAGATTGCCGGCCTTGTCCCTGTGTCAGAGGAACCACTGCGGAGGAACCACGACAAGGTCCTTGGCTCGATCAGTCTTGAGGATCATGGCATGGGTTGAAGTCCACGAATTGCTGTGATCGGTGCTCGCTTAGGAGTCAAATCTTTGTTCACATCTCGTAACATCACGCCCTGTTTGAACTTTTCAACATCACATGGCAAGGACGAGTAAAAGAATCCCTGGAAATATCGACAGCATAACTAGGGCACATCCACATACTGAGCTGCTGTAGATTAAGACTGTTTTGAGGGTATGTAAATGTCGGGGAACTAGACAGTGTGTGTGAGGTGAGATCACACGTTGAGTAACGATGTTAGCTGCAACACTGCGAGTAATTGTAAACCTTTCTTTTAGGTCTCTACTGATTGGCCCATGCTTGGAAGTGCGGGGAGGAAATACCCTTGGTAAATCTGTCGTAGAGACTGGCCATGACTCTTGACACCGCTTGTATTCAGTTATCGAATTGTCCTATGGGGGTGACTAGACACGATTAATGCGATACACCTTCGTAAACCTTTCGCTCGGTTCAATGTCACTTGTCTCATGTGCCAAGCGGTTCATCCAATCCCGAGTACATGTCAACCCCCTCGCGGACTAAACCCACCAAATAAATGGCCTGCGGAAGCATTTCACAAGTTTGATGGCCCGCGGCCCGCCTTATGTGTCAGCAGCTATTGTCTTCGCTCTCTTCTATGAGCCCACGATTACAGGCGAACCTTGCAGATCCTGTTCACCAAGAGGAAAATACCGAAAAGCTCGGCAACAGATTCCAGAAATGGAAAGGGCCTCAGGCTTGGCCAGGCGTCACGCCCCCCGTTTTGAAGGCATGAAATATTCGAGCCTTGCATCGAGACGGCCTCGCGATACTCCGTAGTGACCGAGTGCAGCCGACTCGGTGCGAAGATGAATCCGAGTAATGAATAGTAACTACGTCTAAGTTGATGTTTTCACTGTGACATGATTCTTCTGAAGTCTGGGTATGCTCAGTGCCACAAACCACGCTGCTTTTATGTGGCATTGCTTCTAAGAAAACCCTCAATCTTTCATTCTGAAAATTCTCTCAAATTCCATTGCCAGAGACCGTGATCCGCAAACCTCACTGAAAATCATGGGCTTCAAGGTGATCATCGTTGGCGGCAGTGTTGCTGGCCTTACCTTGGCGAACATTTTAGAGAGGCTCGGTGTCGACTTCACTCTGCTTGAGGCGTACCCCGAAATCGCGCCCCAGGTTGGAGCAAGCATTGGCCTTTTGCCAAACGGGTTCCGTATCCTCGACCAGATACAGTGCTACGAGCCTATTCGAGAGATTGCGGGTGACTTTTATCTGCAGGCGAGCTACCGTGATGCGAACGGCAAGGCCACTACCACGCCTAGCAGCGACGTAACTCATCATCTGGAAGCACGGTACGTCGCCCACATCAGCAAGAAAATCCAGAGTAGTGGTTACCTTGGCTGTCTTGCTTACGACAGAAAAGGACTGGGTATCCCTCAATCTTCATCGATAGACAGATGCTCCTTCAAGTTCTTTATGACAACCTCAAGCAGAAGAACAAAGTGAACCCATCCAAGAGGGTCAACAAGATCGAGCTATCCGAAAAGGGAGTCACTGTCCATACCACTGACGGCTCAATCTATGAGGGCGACATAGTTGTCGGTGCAGACGGCATACATAGCACTGTCAGAAGCGAGATGTGGCGTATTGGTATCAAAGAAAATCCTGGGTATTTCCCGCACGACGAGCAGTCAAGTAAGTCTATCAGGTTTCCTGTCGCACCGGGGAAAAAAGAATACCATCCAAGAACATGGTATTCTTGCAACGTAGGCGCAACACTGACAGACCCCTTCTGCTTCTTTTCAGGAGTGCCCGTTGATACGAGATGCATTTTCGGCATATCCAAACGACCCGCAAACCTGCCTGCAGGCCGTCAAATCACGGCCTACAACGACGGCTGGAGTTACCTAATCGTCGACGCGCCGGGCAATCGCACGTACTGGTTTCTTTTCGAAGGTGTCGGCGAGACCAAGCGCGGCAAAGACATACCCAGATATTCAAAGGAGGACACAGAGAAACTGGCTCTGGCTCACATGTCGGATCGATTGTACGAGGAGGTGACGTTCGGCGACATTTACAAGAATAAGATCATGGCCACATTAGTGCCTCTCGAGGAGTATGTATTCGAGAAATGGCACTACAAGCGCATCGTATGCATCGGAGACGCGAGTCACAAGGTTCGTCTCAGACCTCGGAGTCAACCTGGCGGCGCAAAGAAACTGACCACGAACGTGATTCTAGATCGACCCGGTTTCCGGCCAGGGAGGCAACGGCGCCATAGAAGCGGCCGCGCTCCTTGGAAATGCCATTGCTGAGTTGCTTGAGAAGTATCCGGATGTTGACCAACTTTCCACTGATTTGGTGGAGGGTGCCGTCGCCCAAGTTCACGCAATCCGTTACCACCGAGCGAAGAAGCTGGTCTCCGAAGGCCACAACCTGCAGCAGATTTTGACGGGCAGATCGCCCTTCTCCAAAATCGTAACGCAGTACCTGGTTCCTATTCTGAAAGAGGACGGGTTCCTCAATGTTGCACTCCCGATCTTCAAAGCCGGCCCTCGAGTCGAGAAACTTGCAATGCCCAAACGAGCTCGGCTTGTCCCCTTTGACGACGAACTCCCCGCAAAGCCCATAACAGCGAGGGCCGTGTTGAGAGTGGCAACAATTCTGTCTGCAGGGTCGTTTGCGGCACTGCTATACCAGTCTGGTGGACTGGCCTACTTCTCCACGTTCAGGGATGTTATGCAGACGCAGACTAAGCTCTTCTTGGCTGCTGTTGCCGCCGGTTCGTCTGCAAGACTCTCGCCTTACGACGCCTCGAGACGAAGCCCATTCCATAGCCCCCACCTCGGTGTCGATGGTCTGTTCTCCACCCTCACTCTAGGGCTCGTCGAAGGGCACCGCGTGGGTAACAGGCTTTCTGTTCTCCTCTGGTACGTAAAGTAACTCAACACCCTGGGGCCCTGTCTGACATCCTCTACAGGCCGACGGTAGGTGGTCTCGCGTCCACAGCTTTTGGTCCGGACGCCGTGGCTCCTCTGTTGGGCTTAGGCATGGTTCTTCAAGGGTCCAGTACTCTTTACGGAAGACATGTTCCCCCAAGATATACTAAGTCAATCCTGCCCTCGGTCGTCACAGGCTTGCTGGTGCCTGCCGTCATTGCAGCTTTGCCGGTTCAAAACGTTCATATCCGACAAGCGGCTGAAGCACTTGTAGCGTTTTCGCCTATCGTGTGCTCACTTCTCACAGAATGCATGTCTGCAGTTTTGCAAAAGCTTGCAGGAAAGGAAAAGCCTGCAAGTGCCACGAAGGAGCCGTCGTACAATGAAAGAGAGGATTTCGTAGGGATGTACCGGCAGCAGGATGTACCTGCGCTGAAGTTTGCGTATGCCTGTGTCGCAGGATTATGCGGTGCGGTCCGCGTTGCTGGCATGGCTTTCCCAAGATTTGATGATGCGGGCTCTGTGGACAATTCTATGGGACCTTTGGTAAGACATTTTGGTCTCTTTGGCTTAGCCTCTGTAGCCCTTTCTTGGTACAACATCTGGACGATGAGATCCGAGGGGTTCATCACAACGAATAAGGCAGTGCTTGCTGCGTTGGGGTCGGCCACTGGTTCTATTTTCTTAGGACCAGGGGCGGGACTGGCCGCCACCTCCTACTGGCGCGAGACAGTTATGGCGAGCCTGAGCGATGGAGAATTTTGATAGATTGTATATTTCGGCTAGACACATCCCCTCTCGCAATACGTACTTCTGATGACCTGTGGGAAAGCCTCCTTGGGAGGGTAAAAATGATACCGACTGCGTGGAAACATGCCTAAGTTTCGCAGTCAGAGTAGTGTACATGTAGGCACCCTCGTCCTTTGGCGGGCTTGTAACTGACTCTTGGTCAAGTAGTGTGCCACACCCACCTACAGCGGTTCGTCGAAGACTACATGTACAGCAAACTATCTTGGCACACAAACCCACGTGCAGAACTGCGTCATGCTTTCTTTCGTCTCTGATGTTATTGGCAGGACGAAATGTAGTGTTTACTCTGTTTTTAGATCGGATACGCCCCAGGTTACATCAACCATGGAGACATGCGTTGGCAAGTAGTAGGCATCTCTTAGCTATGTCGCCTGATTTGAGTCAGTCAGACACTCACATCAGTCTCGCTTATGTACAGGGGAACTGTAGCTGCCTGTGTAACTGACGAGAACAAACCTGCAATAGGTTGACCCTTTAGCAAGTTTGGTTCTAAGTCTAATTAACTATCATCACATTCTTTCTGGCAGGGATGTAAGGGACGGACATTGAGACCGCCCGTCAGATCCTAGTTTCCCATCAGTCTCGGCCATCGCATTCTGTCAAGCGAAGAAGAATTCTCGGGTTGTCTCCTGTGCACATCTGAATCCTTGTTTTCTACACCCCACTTAGATGCCCCGGCGTTTGCATAGCTCACTACGGCGGCTCGGACAAAACCCACGCACTGTACGAACGGGATGATGGTCAATGTTCAAAAGTCTGTTGGCTTGGAGAGAAAAGCTAGGGAGACGGACAACGGCTTTGCCAGCCTTCGCCGGCCTTCACCGGCCTTCATCGGAAGTCAGTGACTCCCCAAGGGGGCCGAGCGAGAAAATTCCCGCCGACTCACAGGCCGGGTGTCAAAGTCAAATATTCAAGGATCGCAACTGCAATTGCAAAGCACAATGATCACATCACAGTTCTTGCCGTGTTACATCTCTTTCGTACCATGGCCTACACTCTCGCAGAGACCACGGGCGCCTTGACTGCGGCCGTCGTAGGCGTTGTCTCTCTATTGTTTCTCATTTATCCATGGGCTCTACCGAAACCTCTTCCAGGCATACCGTTCAACAAAGACGCAGCGAAATCCGTACTTGGCGATGCGGCAGAGTTGCAAAGGTTACAGGAGCAGGGCAAGAGACCGCGCGCCTGGTTTCTTCAACAGAACATAAAGCATAAAAGTCCTCTCGTCCAAGCTTTCGTAGCTCCGCTATCACAGCCGATGCTTCTACTTTCAGACTTCCGCGAGGCTCAAGATATACTTTTCCGAAGAAACAAGGAATTCGATCATGGAGAACGGAACCTCGCTGCGTTTCGTGGGGTTCTCAGAAACCATCGCATTGGGATGAGAACTCGGGATCCCCAGTTCAAAGCAAACCGGGAGTTGGTGAAGGATCTCATGACCCCCAATTTTCTCAATACCGTAAGTGAAGTCTGGGAAATGAGAGGGACCTTTTCCAACGCTAACTAGACATTTTAAAGGTATCTGCTCCAGCAATATACTCCAACACTTTGAAGCTTGTCGAGCTGTGGAGGTTGAAAGCACAAAAAGCCAGTGGTCTGCCCTTTCAAGCTGACAAAGACATCAACATGGCCACTTTCGATATCATCAAAGAAGTTGCTCTTGGCGAGGGAGACTCCGAGAACACAACCGAAGCTTACATCAAGATCATCCACGAAACGGCTGCTGCAAAGCCAAATACAAGCGGAGAAGTCGAATTCCCTGAGCAACCCCCTGACGAAGACCTCGTTTCGCACCATGCTCACCAGGAGGCTGTCGGGGCGTCTTTGACAGCACCCTCTCCCTGGCTGTACCATGTAATCAACAGCCGCCGACGCCACATGAAAGAGGCATACGCCATCAGACACCGGATGTTGGAAAATCAGGTCTCTCTGGCTGTTCAACGGCTTGAAGGAGGCCAGCCGGTCCGGTCTGCTTTGGACTACATGATACAGCGCGAAATGAACGCTGCCAAGAAGGCCGGCCGATTGCCCACTTTCGACTCTTCTCAACTCCGCGACGAGCTGTACGGCTACATTGGTGCAGGCCACGAGACAACCTCAACCTCTTTCCAATGGGCAATCAAGCACCTTACGGTTCACCAAGATGTCCAGCAGAAGCTTCGACGAGCTTTGCAATTGGCATTTGCCGAGTCTGTGGCCCAATCACGACAGCCTTCGGTTTCCGAAATAACAAAAGTCGACGTGCCGTACCTGGAAGCGATCATGGAAGAGTCTTTGCGGTTATCTGGCCCAATCATGGGTGTTGTGAGGCAGGCACAAGTAGAAACCACGATCTTGGGTCATCGAGTACCTAAAGGAACCGAGGTTTTCATGCCGTTGTGTGGTCCCGGCATCACCCAAGCACCGATAGAAGTTGACGAATCATTGCGAAGCGAGACTTCCAGATCTCGGCCGAATGTTCGTGGCTCGTGGGCGGTCAGCCCGGAATCGTTCATACCTGAGCGATGGCTTAAGCCGGGACCGAATGGGGACGAATTTGACCCCCAGGCTGGACCTTTTATGAGCTTTAGCAACGGCGTGCGGGGATGCTTTGGGCGGCGGTTGGCGTACATCGAGTTTAGAATCCTTGTGGTCCTAACGATATGGAACCTGGAGCCTGGAGCTCTGCCAAGTTCCCGAGAGTCTGCAAACGTTTGATGCGATGGACAGTCTCGTGACCAAACCGGCCAAATGCTATATAAATGTTTCAGAGGCTGAAAACTAAAGTTCAGTCGGGGGTGCCCATACCCATGTGGCAATTGTAGAACTAGAGCTTCGAGAAGCTGTGTATTCATATCCTGGACTGGTTGGCTTTGGTTGTTCTGTTGCTAACACCTGGAATTGAGACTCAACTCTTCTCTTTGAGACGATCGTCATGACAGTGAGTGATATCGAAGGACAGGGATCAATCGAATTACGGTATATTTACGGCTTCAAATACGAATTGACGGGTTGACAGCCATCCACCACGCCTAGAGTCTGCCCGCATCTACATCTCAGAGAGAGACCATTCAATCCTTGAACCACAGACGAGCGCTGCGCCTGTAGAGGGATCTCAGTAGTTTGACACAATCATGGGCCATTTTCACCCACAGGCCCGCAGCAATGGCATCCACCAAGCAATCGAAGGTCACTCGAGTGACAAAATGGCCAGTATCGCCTGTTAGACCTCGGTAAATGCCAATCAAACGAACCAAGCCAGTGAATTCCCATGCAAAATCTAAAGCTATCGGAGTTTTTGTTCTTTTATATTGCATCAATCCCCATAAACTTGCATCTTTACAGGGACCTAGAACATCTTTTGCGATGGTTTGGCCTATTTGCGCGTTAACACCATATGACTTACAGCGCCGGTCACTCGAGTGAAACTATCGTGATGGATCCTCGACAACATGACTTGGGAAGTTGTAAACCATGCATGAAGACCCCGCAATTCTGGTCGAGAATGATTCATTTGAATATGACTCAACGGCCTCGGTGTTTTCGGGGAAAATGCCACTGGTAATGGCCGACTTTCCGTTCGCGTTGACGGAAGCGCGAAGAGCGAGTTCAAGCAGAACCTGTTCCAAAGAAGCGATTCCACTGAGAATGCAGTATAATCATGTTTACTCCTGCCTACGAAGGCAATGACATAAAAGGAGGGTTGAATGGTCTAATGCACCAAATCTGGCAAAACATCTCATCCCCTCTCGCCTGAACGATTCTTCCTCATCTCAACTGTGCGTAACCCAACATCGACAAACTCCTTTCCCTTCATCATGTCTGGAAAGTTCCTCATCACCGGCGGCTACGTGGTCACGCTAGACGACTCCCTCGGCGACTTCGACAACGGCGCCGTGCTAGTCGAAGACGGCATCATCACAGCCGTCGGCAGGGCACAAGACATCTCCGCACCAGCTGACGCCGAGATCATCAATGCCGCCGAGGGAGTCGTCATTCCTGGCATGGTCGACACCCACCGCCACGTGTCCATGAGCCTGACGCGCGGGATCGGCGTCGACCAGCACCTCTGGCACTTCCTGTCCAACACCTACACCCGCTGGCTTCCGGCTACCGGCGTCGACGAGATGTACACGTCCGCCCTGGTCGGCTGCCTCGAGGCAATCGAGAGCGGGGTGACGACCATCATGGACACCTGCGAGTCGTTCCACTCTGCCGAGCACGCGGAGGCGGAGCTGCGCGGGCTGGAGGACTCTGGGATCCGGGCGTTCTTCTGCTATGGCATGAGCGGAGATCAGTATGGCCAGACTCCGGCGGGACGGAGCGGTTGGAGCGCTCGTTTGGCCCACGTCAAGGAGATGGCGCAGAGAGGCGCGAACGACGGGCTTGTCCGCGTAGCGCTGCAGCTGAGCCAGTCGGGGACGACTCCGTTCTCTTGGATGGGCGATGAGCTGAAGCTCGCCCAGGAGCTGGGGCTTCTCTGCTGCTCGCACTCCAGCGCCGTTCCTGCGTCCAATCTCACGAGTGACCTGGAAGTCCGCGCGGATATGGGATACATGCTGCCTGGGCATGTGTACATTCACTGCACGAACCTGACAGACCACGAGATGGGCCTCGTCGCGAAGACGGGAGGTAAAATCGCCCTTGCCACCGAGACCGACATCCAGATGGGAATGGGGTTTCCCCCGCTGAGGATGGCCTTGGCTCACGGTTTGAAGCCGTCTCTCAGCATCGACACGTCAAGCGCCGCGGCGCCAGATCTGCTCTCGCAGATGCGGCTTCAGCTGCAGCTACAGCGCAGTCTGGATCATCATGCGGCTCACCTCGAACGCCGCGTTTCCATGAAGATGGACTTTGGCGTTCGCGATGCTCTGATATGGGGAACGAGGAACGGCGCCGAGGCCGTTGGTCTCGGCGACCAGATTGGCACTCTCACCCCGGGGAAACGGGCCGATATTGTCGTCATCACGAGTAAACGAGCACTCAGTGGCTCGGCTTTCCCGCTGGGTACGGCTGTTCTGCACTCGAGCCCGGCAGATGTTGATCTTGTCATGGTAGATGGACGGATTCTGAAACGAGATGGTGCCTTGGTGGGGATTGATGTTGACGCCATCCGCGCGAGGGCGAGAGAGGGAATGAGACGTATCCAGGCCAATTTAAAGAATCTCAGGCCGGAAATGAGCCCCGAGGAGATTCGAGAGTTCTTTCTTCAAGGAGAAAAGGCGCACCGCGTCAATGTTGCAAACGCCTACGCTCAAGGAGGCCAAGTGTCGGACTACCTGAGGTCATAGTAGCAGACTACTTGGACTGTGTTAATGCTGCGGCGGAACTGAGGGCTCTCTGGGAGTTCTGCAGACTCGCTTTATCATATCTTGTGGATAGACATTGTCAGCTACCTATTTTATGCCAACCCTGTCTTGAGAATTGGTCTTTAAACTCCGTTCGGACCCGCTACGTCATGACTCTTCAGTGTTTGTTCGTTTAGTGAGCCATCAGTCGCATAGACAGCGCCCCGGTCCATTTGATCTCGTTTGATCTCGGTAATCCCAATGCGCCCCTCTCAACAAGACCCAGCGCCTGCATACGGCTTTCGCTAAACTAAATCCATAATGTCTTGTAACTCTTGTTTCCCAACTTCGTTTAATATCCGCCGCTAATTTGGCACCCGCGACTCCTCATATCTTCACTTGGCTTTCATGGCCGGTACTCAAGCACGTAGCGCCTCTCCACCTGATGCGTGGTCGATGAATCGTTTTCGCCATGAAACTTGAGGTTGACCGTCTTTCCGTCGGCCTCTGTACCGACGACATCCGCCGCGTAAAATGCTGTCGTCTGCGGATACAAGCCAAGGACCATTTTGCCTGCCTCTAGCTTGGCGAGGTTGTGTGTCTGGTTCTCTGGCGGGATCGGTATCATGCCCGATGCAAACGTCTTGTACTCCTTCGGCTTGACGTTGTCCTCGGGCTCCACGTCCAAGCACTTGTATCGTCTGCTCTTGCCCTCGCCGATGATGCCAACCACCTCGCCCAATATCCAGTCGTACGGCGCCTCACCCTGTTGAGGCTCGTCCTTCTTGCGCTTGAAAGCTACCTTGTCTCCTTTCGAGAACGAGATTTTGCTTCTAGCCGCCGCGGCATTTGATCCGAGGGCCCCCGAGGAAGAGCCCGCCGTATTGCTGCCGGTCGAACCTTGTGGCTCGACACTATCTGCCTTAGGTGGCATACTGTCGCGGTTGCTACCCCGATCACCAAACTTGCGTGAGCTGCCACCAATGGGGCTGGGTACAGGCGAGTCTCCAGCACCGTCAAAGTCGTAGAGCGCCGCGGCCGCGGCATCTCTGTTCCGTGTTGAGCTGCCTGTCCGAGATGACGACGTAGTCGTTGCAGGCGCCTCCGCAAGCTCCTTGGCCTGCTGCACAGCCTTCAGAATCTTAAGCTGCTCGACCAGGGTTTTGATGTTGTTTGAGTTGTTTTCCGAGAGCTTAACTCCGGACCGACAGAACTGCTCCATCTTGTTAAGATCGTTGCCCGAGGGGTTTCCGCCGTCCTTGCTCGCACTGGCCGCCTTCTTATCCAGCTTGATCAGCTCAGCTAGGTTGTCGTTCTCCTGGTTGACACCGGTGACAATCTCTTGAAACTTGTCCTTGGCGTCATTCCACAGCTGAATCTCTTCGCCGTGGCCGCTGCCATTGTTGCGGTTCGAGCCACGGCCACTGCGGTTTCTTTGCGACATCTTGGCCTGGAGAGAAGAGGCCGGGCCAGGTCGCTTATCCTTCGCGATACCCTTCTTCTAACCGGGTTTCTGAGGAAAGGCCTCGCCCGTAGGTACTTTCGTCTTGTAACTGGTCGTTTTTGCCTTGGCCTGTGTTGGCTTCGCCTCCGCCTGGGTTATTTTCGCCTCGACTTGGGATGGTTCGGCGTCGGCGGTTGGGGGCTCCGTTTTCCTGGTGCTCAGGCTCGACTGGCGTGCGCCTGAGAGCGGCTTTTGCGTTGCCTTTCCTTTAATCTTTCTCGGCATCTTGACGTTAGTCTCGGGATACAATGCTCGACAGTAGATCTATGGGTGCAGAAGGTGATGAAAGGGTGTGGCTTAATGTCAAATGAGTATCCATGGAGAGATGAAGCCGGACGGATGGAGGTGGACTACATCTACAAAGCTTGACAGGAGCGAGACAACCCGTCGCAACTTACAAGGAAGGAGCTGCTTTAGCTCAGGTGAGGCAGGAAGGAGGGGCAGCTCCGGCGGCGCAAGTCGGGTCGCGTCAAACAGGCAGGTCCACGGGTAGGCAGGAGCCTTCCTTCACAGATAGCAGCAGGTAGGGTATCTCAGTGCAACAAGATGCTATACAAGAAAAATAAATGCACACATAAACGTCAGCCCATGTTTGAGGCTTATAAAATGGCGAGGAATTAAGCTTTTGGCCCAGCCAGGTGTTTGGAGACCATGGCATAGACGCGCGCAAAGGTGGTGGACAGAGGTGATGTCGATGGCAGAATTGCCGGGCGGTATCGGGCAATGCGCTCAGCTTGAGCTTCATTGGTCGCCCGACGCGACAGCTTGCGGCCGCGAATTGCCGAAGTGGGCCCGACAGCTCCTGTTGTTCTGTCACAACGGTCCAATCACGCCTCAGATGGTCACTGAGCACCGTGCGGCCCGATCACTGCCCCGGGGCCCGTGCTCACCTCATGCTGATCATCCCTTGGGGAAAGGGAGCACCAGAGGGAGGGGCCTGGCCTGTCAAATGTCCACGCGTTGTTCAGATCGTTGCGGGGTCCTCTCCAGGCTCTCCCTGACGTCAAATCCATGGTGGGGTGAGCAAAGGGACTCGCAACCTTATTACCACCACATCGCCGTCGCGTCTTCTCCTCTGCCCTCTGAGCTTTGCCCCTTTCTGTTCGTTTCCGAGCTTGTCATAGCTCTGTTTTCATAATGGTCTTGCAAGTCCCCTTGTTCAAGCTCCAATGCGGGGTCAACTCCTACGAATGGGGCAAGAAGGGAGAGGACTCAGCAGCCGCGCGTTTTGCGGCCACGACACCAGCTGAAGGCTTCACTGTCCAGTCCGACAAGCCATACGCAGAGGTAAGACAACGAATTCCTCACCTTTCCCCGACAACTATGCTGACACCTCCAGCTCTGGATGGGCACTCACCCCTCAAACCCCTCAAAAGACCTCCAATCCGGGCGCACCCTCCTCGACCTGGTTCAAGAAAACCAACAACTGCTTTCCGCCCCTGTGTCCTCCAAATACGGCTCCAAGCTGCCCTTCCTCTTCAAGGTCCTCTCCATCAACAAGGCGCTATCCATCCAGGCCCACCCCAACAAGAAACTCGCCGAGCAACTACACGCCCGCGACCCCAAGAACTATCCCGATGACAACCACAAGCCCGAGATGGCCATCGCCATCACCCCTTTTGAGGGTCTCTGTGGCTTCCGTCCACTCGCCGAGATCTCCCACTTCCTCAACACCGTTCCTCCACTCAAGGCCCTCGTGAAGGAGGACAAGGCCGACGAGTTCATCAATACCGTCAAGGGAGAGGAGGAAACCGAGTCCGCCGAGATCAAGGAAAAGAACAAGACCGCCCTCCAGCACGTCTTCGCCTCCCTCCTCTCCGCCACTACCGAGGAAATTCAGAAGCAGACCGAGAGCCTGGTGTCGCTCGCCAAGTCAGAAGGCAGCAGCTTCGCCGGCGGCGGCGCAGGCGCAAGTGACGGCGAGACCCTCTCGGAACTCATCACTCGTAGCCATGGCGAGTTCGGCGCGGACATCGGTCTCTTTGTCCTTTTCTTCCTCAACTACGTCAAGATGGAGCCAGGGGAGGCCATGTTCCTCGTCGCCGACGACATCCACGCCTACCTCTCCGGCGACATCATCGAGTGTATGGCCGCCTCCGACAACGTCGTCCGCGCCGGCTTCACTCCAAAGTTCAAGGACGTGCCCACCCTCGTAGACATGCTGACCTACAACTACGCGCCCATTGACGAGCAAAAGATGTCGCCCTCCGAGTACCCCTACGCCACCCTCAACCGGACCGCCTACAGCTCCGGCTCCGCCGTTATCCTCTACGACCCACCCATTGACGAGTTCAGCGTTGTCCGCTCGCTGCTCAAGGGTGACGGCTCCAAGGCTACCTTCGACCCCCTCGAGGGACCCAGCATCATCATCTGCACGTCAGGCAAGGGGACCATCGCCGTTGGACCCAAGGTAGAGAAAATCAGCGAGGGCAATGTGTTCTTTGTAGGGTCAACAGCAGAAGTGGTGCTGCAGTCTGAAGGTGATGCCGACGACGAATTCATAACGTTCAAGGCGTTTTGCGAGATTGACGAGAGGGCGGAGGAAAAGCTGTAGAAAGTAAACGCATGCGATCAACGCATACATGGACGACGGAGAAGTAACATCATACCCAGTATCATTTTAGGCGAGCAACAAAAACCACAAAACGGCACAGTCCGAGAGATGATTGTCATTAGTTCAATTCCTGCCCTCTATGCAAGGCAACGCCCGGTCCGGGCAAGTCTATCTGATGCTTTCATCCTCCTGCTCTCTTCCAAGCAGGGAACCCGTGTTTTTCCCTGTCTCTGTTGACACCAGACAGCTCACCAGAAAACCCCCTGAGAGCCATATTAAGGTTCCGACAAGGCCCATGGCCTCAGGATACATGAAGAGGGGAGGGTATGAAAAAAAGATGCGAACAGGGCGAGATGATTCTTTTCTGCCCGCGAGAAACAAACAGACACCGCCGTGCTGTTGTTCTCTGTGTGTATGGTTTGATAAGAGATGCTTACCCCTACCCCCTTTTCGCGGTGTGGGGGGAGGGAACGAAAAGACAATTTGTCAAGACCAGAAACGCCGCAGTAGAATGAGAAAAGGCCCAAAAAAAAAGACCCAAAAAGAAGATGCCCCGGGAATCATCATAATACCCAAATCCCTTCGCTCCCATGCCCCGCCAACCACTCCCATATCCTTCCTCCCTTTCCCAGGGTTGTGCCGTGATTGATAATGCCCACATAAGTCATGTCAATTTTTCTTTTCTGTATCACCGATCCCCGTGATTCCGTAGCCCCCTTCCCTCCAAGTTGTTGTTAGTTCATTGGGGTAAAACACATGATGCTTTCCCTCGTGATCCCCCCCTTTCCCGAATACAACCAGCAAGGTATTACACATTGCCCCAAAAAGGAAGAAAAGAAAAGTAACCCCATCCCAAGGCAGAGATGCAGACTCCTAGCAGAAACGCAACCGACGTGGTGAAGGCAGACGCAGACGCAGACGCAGACGCAGACTTGGTAAAAACAAGCGAGGTGTAAGCCAATCAGAACAGCAGAGAGCAAGAATCCAAGACATAAAAGTCAGAAGTGCAGCAGCAACTTTTTTCCAGATCGCACCCGGTCCGGTGATGAATGAAACTCGGTACGGTGGTTCCTTGCCTCTTGCAGATGTCGGGCTTCCCAATCGCGGTAAGAATAGACGCAGTTGGTGACGGTGAAAGACGGATGGTGAGCCAAGAACGACAGGATTGGCGGCCTCCAAAGATACGCCCACTGCCAAGGTTCCAAAGATAGAGACAGTATGCGAGAAAGGAGCGACGGGTAAGTTGGATTGAAATGTCCAGACGGTGAACTCCCCCGTTCGCTTCGTGATCCAGGACTTCAAGCAGAACAGCCATGTCAAAAAAGAGGGTGTTCAGGATTCCTTTGGGGAAACACGAAAAGAGGGGGGAAACTCCAACCACACCGCCCCGCGGCGCACATTGTTGGCCGTCCCTTGCCTGGGGCCAGAACAGGCGCGGGATGGAGGGCGGGAACGGGACGGTACTGGGCGGGGGCTCCTTTTGTCAAGGACCGCGGGCGTGCCGGGTCGGGAAGCCGCATGGGAGCAGTAAGCCCGGCTTGCATGCTGTGTGTTGGACGGCGTTGCAGTTCGTCGGCGCCAACCCCTTGTCTCAAACGCAACGGCCGCCGGCCCCCAGGGCCCCTTGCATGTCCATCCCGGCCCCGGAGCGCTGGGTTGGAAGTAAGTGACCCCCCCTCGCGACGCTCTTGGCTTGGAGATGCCCACTCGACAATGTACGAGAGACAGGTACGCCACAAAGGACATGGTGTGTATGTCGTTGTCGTCATCCGGAACGTTACGTTTCTTGTAGATGAATTGGTGCAGGATGCGAGGCGTGCAGCGAGGCGCCGCCACTTCTTCTCTCCAACAGCATTGGAACCAACCCAGTTGTGAGTGTGCTAAAGTCCGAGGATGCAGAAGGAAGCTGCATGCATAGCTGACAACCGTAACGTTTCGGTAGACATGGGTTGGTCGAGAGAGGGAAGACAAAAAGTGCATCTTTCAAAACAACGCCACAGAAAACCCGTATTCTCGACTGGAGGGTCGGATAGGCTTTGACCGGTCCCATTATCGGAGACGCAATGCACCAGCCGCTGATGCCGGTGACGGTGATGGGGCTCTGGCCGGTGGGCGTCGGTGTGGGTGAAAGAACAAAAAAAAGACCAAACAAAAAAAAAGTGCGGAAAAGCTGGATTCAATAAACAGAGCAATGCAAGAATATACGGATTGGCGGCGCATAGGCGGGGGAGGGCCCTCCCCTGCCTTATTGATTTGCGCAAAAATACGCCATCTCGAGTCCCAGACAGGCTCCGGCCGAAGCGGGTGGACTCTCAGGAAGCAGACAGGCTGCCGGCGGACCGGCGTCCCGAGGGGTGCTGCTGCTGATGCTGGTGGTGGTGCTCGCGGTGTCCGTAGTGCGGGTGCTGCTGCTGGTCGACGTCGTCCGAGAGGAGCGCGTAGGCGCCAAGGTGGTGGCGTGAGTGGCCCATGGGGGCGGCGTACATTGCGGAGCCGGGCGTTGGGACGGTGTACGTCTGCCCGTTGGCGAGCGAGCCGCCGCCGCCGGCGCCGGAGGAGCCCGAGGACGCGGACGTCTCGCCGCTGCCGCGGCGGCCGGAGGAGCCTGTGGAGGAGGCGTCGGAGTACTTGTAGCTCAGCTCGGAGGCGGAGCCGTGGGTGCGCAGGGACGTCTCGGACGGGGTGAAGATGGAGTCGGCGCTGCTTGTGGAGGACGGGTAGCCGGCCATGTCGGCGGCGGCGGCGTTGGAGAGACGGTGCTGTTGCTGGTGGTGGTGGTGGTGGAGGTGTGTCATGGACGGGAGGGTGTGCGGCGCGGGCGGGTAGGCGGAGACCGGGGAGGCGTCGTAGCTCGTGGTGACCTCTGAGACGGCGCTGGTCGGGGACGGGTTGTTGGAGGAGCCGCTTCCGGTGGACTTTGTGGAGGTCGCGTAGGAGGAGGAGGCCGCGGAGCCGTCGGTGCGGTAGGCGAGGACGTTGGCTGTGGGCAGACGCGAGGGGTTCGGGAGCAGACGATCGCCGCCGCTGGAGGTGTGAGGGAGGGAGGCGGCCACGTTGGAGAGCGAGAAGTTGGGCGCGTCGGCTGGAGAGACGCCTCCTGCTGCAGCGGGGCGGTGGACGAGGGCTGCGCCGGAGGAGCTGTAGCCGTAGCCCGTGCCGTCCGTGTTGACGTAGAGGTCCGCGTTTGAGGGCGCTTTTACGGCGGTCATGCGGTAGAGGTAGGAGGCGTCCTGGCTGTGGTACGGGTAGGACGGGTATCCCATGGCGCTGTAGTCGACGCCGGTGCCGTCGTCGGCGGGGTACGCGGCCGGGCTCGTCCAGCTCGCGGGCATGGAAGAGTAGTACTTGCCGGTGGTGCCGTAGGAGGAGTAGCCCGCGGTGCTCGGGGGGTAGCCGCCGTGCTGCGGAGCGCGGGGGAGGCCGTCGTGCATCTCGGAGGCGTAGTGCGTCGGGGAGGCGGCGAGGGCGTGGCCTCCGACGGCCTGGTACGCTCGTGCGGCCTTGAGCTCGTAGGAGAAGCTCGGGTCTGAAGGTTGGACCCAGGGGGCTTCTTGAGAGGCGACCTTGAAGGGAGAGTTAGTTGTGATGGATGGGTTTGGTGATCGGGTGAAGAGAGCACTTACACGGAGGAAGTGGCAGGCGTCGATGCCCGCGGCCTTGCAATTCTGGCAGGGCATTCCGTTGCCGGCGTCTCCGCTGCAGCGAATCTTGCGCTTCCGGCACCGGCCGCACTGTAGATCTGTCAGATCTTTCTTTTTCCCCGTCAGGTGCGATGAAATATGCAAGCTCCCTTCTTTCTGTGTCGCCCAGCTCTAAGAAACCCAACTTCGGGATGCTTGCTTTTTGAGAAAGAAAGGGGAGAGGAAGCTTTGGTCGAGTACATCAAGAAGCAAAAGACAAGTGAAAACCCCCTATCCCAGAGCTCAAAGGAATCGAACCAAGACTTACAGCAACGGCAATGCGCTTGCGGGGCGGGGTGTCGGTCTCAGGCTCTCGTTCAGTCATGGTCGATGTTCGCGCTTCGGAGGTGCTCGAGTATCGTTGCTGGCGGTCAGAGTAGACGTAAGGTGGCTCCAGGCGGCTATATCGTCTTCCGTCGGAGTAGCAACTCGGGCTGACCATGGTGTCTTTGAGGGGGGCAGGTGAGATTCGGCAAGGCCTGCTCTATGGAAGCAAGCGGTTGTGGCAGAATCGAGGGGCGTGGTTGGATGAAGAGGGACAGGAGGTGGCCTGTTACAGGAAGCGAGAGGGATCTGGAGGCGGTGTTGCTGTTCGCCTTTTGCCTTATTCCCGCTTGTCGAAGGCTGGACTGTGTGTTGGATGTATGTCGTCGATGATGACGGAGGAAAAGTAGACGAATGAACGACAACCCCTCCTCGAAATGTTGTGAAAGCGTCTCGTTTCAGTAAAATGGGGGTGTTCGATGTTGTTCATACACACATACACACACGCTTCCCACTGCTGCGTCGAGGCTGAACCTGAGGGGAGGGGGAGGGCAAGGAAGAAGAAACACGTTTCTGGGGGTGGGTGATGTTGAGGTTTCTTCAACACGCCTCCTTGTCAGACGTGGATGTTTTAAAGAAAGAGAGAAGGCGGTGGTTCGGTGTCAGCCTTTTCTGGTTCTTCAGTAGGTGGTGAAGAACTTTTGCTGATCTTGTGTTTCACACGGAGGAAGTGTAAAGCAAAAAACAAGGGGTAGATATGTTTGGGAGGGAATAAGATCAAGGAAAGTAAAAAGGGAAGAGAGAGAACTCAGGAAGGAGAAATCAAGAAGCAGCTGCAGCCGCGTTCGATGTTATACCTATCCCCAGGGTGGTCACGGACTCTCCCGCGCGGTCTTCTTTCAGTATTTTTTTGGTACTGCTGGGGGTGAGTGAGTGAGTGTTGGCTGGTGTTTGCATCTTCTCTCCGCACCCTCCTTCATCACATCAAATCTATGGCCCTATCTAGATACTCTCTCTCCGCCGAGAGAAATATGACAAGACAGAGACCCTTGCGAA